TCTCTCTCTCTCTCTCTCTCTCTCTCTCTCTCTCTCTCTTTTTTAAGATCGCTCCGAAATCTCTTCCGTAAGATCTTCCTTTTATTCGGAGAACGATGAAGAACAACCGCGATACCGCGACGTTGAACGAAAACACTTGGATGTTTCCCTCAGTCGAAGCCGCAAAGCATTCTCTCCATTCCGAAAGCTTCTGAATTATATTGTCAGAAACGGAGAATTTCGACGGGCCCTTTGCGTCGTAAATAAATTGAACTGACTTTTAAGAGTATTAATTTAATGCACTCTCGTGCTATATAAAAAAAATTGAGAGTTTTCTGCCATTATTTTATAATAATACCTAAATCTCCATATACTTCTATTAGAGTACAAATTCTAAAGATAGTATTTCTTATTTTGAAATAACTTTTGATCTAGATGAGAAACCGTCGTTAACTTTTGTATTACGTTTAATTTCTCTTAATCAGTGGATAAAAATAAAATGCCTAGCAATAGATAAAGATAAAAATACGTATCAAAAATAGTATATCGGTTGTAAAATTATGCGAAGGCCACGTGGCCTTTTTTTTCTCTTCAGTAAATTAAGCAATTTTAATCTCTAAAATTTCATCCGTTTATTTCTTTCCACAGTTTTTTCTTGACGCGCGCTGTTAATTTTGATGATATCTAAATTACTAAAAAATTTTATGTTTTAACTAAAAAATTACGCTGTAATTATGTTCTAATTAAAATTTTGCTATTCTAACAAAATTTTGATTAAAACAGCACAATTTTTTAATTAAAGCATAACATAATTTTGTAATTCGCGTATCAACAAAATTATATTTATTCATATCAAACATTTCTTTCGAGTGTATCGATTTTATGCTAGAATATTTGAGCAAAAGCTGTCTATAATTATTAGAAGGAAAACAATGGGGCTCGGTAACGCTAGCAGGAACAATCTGTGACAGCCAGATTGCGAATCGCCCTCTCTTGTCGCGTTTCGGTCCGCTATTTTCATGTCAGTTTCTGGGAATGTTTTATTGGTAGACTGCCAGGAATTTTTGTCAGTACAAAGACGTGTAGAACCGTGTGTATGTTACAACACTGTCTCGACCAATGTTTCTCTTCGGGGAACTGCGCTGATCACAAACATCGTCCGTTGGAAGGCTTACAAAGTCACTGAAGGAACACCTGAAACTTGCGACTGTTCCTATATTAATCTTCTCGTAAAGTCCAGCGAGTTCGAGCGATCGTCATTCAAATAATCTTATTTCGTATCGTTTAACAGGAAACTCGACGTAAAAATGATGGTTTGCGCCACAAACGACAATGTAAGAAAATTATTTCTCGAATAATTATATTTATCGAATATTTTCAGATGAATTACATATATTTTGAAATTAATGAAAAAATGATTTTTCTAGATTATTCTAGATCGAGTTTAAAAGTAATATAAAAAAAAATATATGTGTATAAAATAGTGATAAAAATCTCATTTTCTTATATAAATATAAGAGGACAATAAAACGACATTAATGTCAATAATTATACCTTCTATCGATTTCTATTGCAGGCAATTAATTTTTTAAGACAGCTACAGAATTATAATTTGCTAGAAACTCGCTTTATAGATATCGCGTAAATATTCTTGAACTCGTTGAACAATTACCCGCTGACTTCTCTTTGCAGAAGGTGGAAGGTTACAAAAAGAGCTTACCTATGCATCGGAAGTTCTCGGCGAGGCAGCCGCCTCGACGCACCAGCTCGTCATCCAAACGCCGAGGCATTCCGGGGCGAATATCCTTCATCCGGCCGCGCTCAGGGAACATTTGGTGGTGCTGGAGGCTGCGATGAATGTGGAGGTGCACCTGTTCGATATGTGAGTCTTTTTCTCCGCTCACTGCATTTTCTTATTTGTATACGGAAAGGGAACGTCCGGTGTTTAATTCGAAAGCCGAATTAATTAAAGAGATAGAGAGAGAGAGAGAGAGAGAGAGAGAGAAAGAGACTAGGCCGCGCTCGGCGGCATAATTAATCCCCTCGAGAAGAAGGCGTTTATACTGGGAGACTCGTTAACGGTGATACAAATCGCGAGAAAGAAGATTACACGCGAGAGAGTAAATTGGGAATGAGGAATAACGCTCTCCTATATAAAAATATTTTTTTTTTTTTTTTCGAGAAAATTTCATTTAAAAATTGAACAATTGATATAATGTTTATCGTATTTGGAATTTAATGACGCTGTACATTATAGACCGATGAATTCGTTTTATCAGTGATATGTAAATATAGATAAATGTATTCTATTTAAGAAAATAGAAAATAGATTTTTACACTTCATAAATAACTTGTCCAGCAAAATTTCGAATATTGCTTACTACATGCGTACCTTTTAAATACAGTTTGTTAAATTTTTTAATAACTTATTTCTTCGAATACTTTTTACAATAATTTATGTAGAACCATAATTACTTAAGGTAACAGTAGATATTAATCTTTTGAATTAATTTTTCAATTCTTTCGGAAGCAAAACTCCAAAAGAACAAAATGAGAAGAAAGTTTTCTTTACATTTTCATCTTGATATTGAGTCACTCATTTATCTATTGCTTTCTCTATTTTATTACTTTTAAGTGTTTCAAGTAGTTTGGAGTAATTTAGCGACTAATATCGCTTTTCGCAAACACGTCGATAATTAAGCGTCTCGCTTCATTCACATGATTGATCTCTCTCTTTCTACTTTAAGAATGAAATGACGCAAAGTCTCGTAGTCACGAATGCATGTGTCATTTGCAGCACGTGGAAGCTGAAGGACTTGTGTTACGCGCCGAGCATACCCAACTTCGACATGCACTACATCGACCAGGTAATGCAGCTGACATATATATATATATATATATACATATATATGTATGTATATACGCACGTATCCGCATTCGAGACGGATGCACACACGCGCGCACGTACAGCATGAATGGCGCGCGCGAGCACGTGTTTACGCACCGTCTCCCGGTCCCATTAGACCCCTAGTGAAGGCATCAATGCGCCGCACGTGACACGTGCACGACGTGTCCGCGTAATAAGCTATATCGATAGCCGTCGTTAGCGAAATATCGCGCACGTTTTGGTATCGACATTTCCGAGCACGGTACACACTCCTTATCAATCCCATTTTACGGCTATTAACTTGGATTCTGTCATCTGTAATTTTTTTGCATCTTAATAGACAGAAAATACAGTTGAATCATAGGTTTTTTTTTATTGAGTAAGAATTTGTACCTTTTGTTTCTTTCTTTAAGGAAATATTAAGTAAGTTTATGTGTACAGGGTGTTTGTGAGCTGGATAGTACAATCGGGAAGGACGTGATTCTACATTTAATGGAAACACATTAGTTGAAGGCGTAGAAAAACATTTTTTCGCGAGGTTCTGTTTTCGATTTTAAATATTCGCCGAATACGGATTTAATTGATAAATGGAAGCATCAGAACACGCTAGGAAGTGTCCATAAAAATTTATACTTCAAAGAGCAGACTCGTGTATTTAACAGAATGGACAATGTTTAATATATTTATAAAGTAATAAAATTTATCGTTCGTGAATATCTTGTTTTTATTATGTATTCTTAATTACCCAGTATAATAATAAATACACTGTGCAATAATGAACATGAGCGGAGATAATAGTCTACAGCGAGAGCCATTAAAATTGAGAGCCATTAAGTTAAATACATATTGCATACTTGGCAATATTTAAACTCAATTTTCTCGGAAACACAGCCTCAAACAAATGAACAAAATTTTGTTTTAGTTAGCAATAGCAACTTGTAATTGCGATGTAAAAATAATCTCAAGAGTGATCGTTTACGCAATAAAAAACTATTCCCCGGTCTAATAATCCGTGCCGTACAATTCGTTTATCGTGATCAATTCTTCGGTGGTTCACTTATAATTCTATTCTCTGTTGTTCATTTGTTATTTCTTTACAATTATGCAATAAGTTAAAAGATCAATCAACACGCTGCAGGTATATTTATCGATAAGTATCTCGTTTTTAGAGAAATATCATACCAAAGATATTTAAATAACAAATCAAAGGACTCTTTCTATACAAAACAAATAATAATAAGTAACGGGCAAAGTAAGAGTCAACACATTTCTTTGAAATTAACAAAAAATATATATTATAATTAACAAAAGTAAAATTACATAATAAAATTAGAATCGAAATTACGAAAATGATTACAAGTTACAAGTTTCGGCTACTAAAAGATATTTAAATTTTACGACGACTCCATCCGATATCCGCAACGTTCAAGAGAGATTAACATGCGTGTACGTTACATCACTTCGCGCGTTAGAGAACAGCGCGACGGTGGCTGTGGTATTTCGAGAGGAAAAACGCGCGTCTTTGAGATCTCATACAACGAACGCGCCAATCCCCGCTTCCGGGACATCATAAACGTGTTTCGCGCGAAGGACTGCTTTTTTTACGCGCCGTCAAAAATTTATGCTTGGCCATGAATCTGGTTCCTCTCTTCTCCTCTCTCCTTCGCTTTCTCTCTTAACGTTACATAACACGTATAATTCCATTATCGTTCAATTTTAATCAGAAGCGAAAAGTATTATTCAGTACAATAATCAATCTGAGCAAGGATAGTCTACAGTGCGAGTTGTTAAGTTGAAATATTCATCAATAAGAATCTTATTTTCTCTCACAGAAAAATGTGCCAAAGATATTTACATTTTATGATAGTTCCACCAATATCCGCATCGTCGGCGTGCATATAAGACACATGTTAAACCCGGAAATAACTATTTAGCCTCTCATTGCGTAAACGATGTCACTTGGTGTGATTTTTACATCTCAATTAAAAGTTACTACTTGAATAACATTTGGCTTTCTTCTTCTAAAGGATCCATTTATTTGCTCTCTACAAGATATCGGTTGGATTGTTTCCGAGATTTAAGGAAATACTTGACTGCTAGTTTGCTATTTTTGCTGACAGTATCAACAATAGCAAGAAATGAGCGAGCGAGCGAGAAGGGTATTCTCCGTATAGGGCGGTAAACAAAATCCGATCCGACTAATATCCGACTCCGAACATTAACGATCGTCATACGGTTTTTCTGGGTACTAGGCCATTACGAGGGCCCACCTCTGGGTTCCAGGAAACTCGAATAGGGCGGTCCGCGCACCACCACGTTCTTTCGTAAACCCTCGCCTTACATTCGACGACGGGATATAAGATCATCTTAGATTACACCCTGTACAATATCTAAGCGCTGTTTAAACGGAACTTGGTCGCCATCACGTTTCCCAAATGACACTTGGAAGAGCGTTCTCACCAAACTCGTAATTTGCATTCGTTAAGGTAGGCTACTTGCATTCGCCGCTCGTGAGTTAATATTTGTCCAGTTAACTCCACGCTCTTTCGGATTTCCGCAACGTCTTATTAAAATGGTACGCTGAAATTAGACTGAACTGAATCATAGTTTGCGTCTGGTATCCCTAATTTGTTCGCGAATCATATTAATAATGTCACGATTGAAATAGCTATAAAACAGCAGTTTCTGCTCGACTCCTACCGCCAATTTGCAATCTAGGTGTGTATAATATTAGCAGATTCTGTTTGGTTTCTGCTACTAGTCTGACAATATTCTGTTAACATTTTGCTTACGGAGTAGGTACTTAGTTTAAAGTACATGTAAAAAATTACAATATTGTTTTCTTAACGTAATAAAAGTCCATAAAACGCGTATCTAATATATTTCACATATAAACGTGTCCTGTTTTTATATTTATTGTATAATTAAAGTAAGTTATAGTAATATATCTCTCTGAATTAAGAAATTGCTTGAAAATTGCTTGCGAATTTAATTTGTGATATTCTGTAAAATTTCACTTTGATTGAATATGGTCTTCTTCGCTTAAATATTTCCGTTGAAAATAGCAATAATATAATAAGAATGATGTAACAATAAGATGCAGTAATAATCCGTGCTACCTAGACGTAATTTTGATTTAAGTTGGATTATGCTCGTTGATCAAATCAAAATATAAATTTGCAACAGTGGAGAGATTTATGCTGTGCGTCTCCTCTCTTTCGATATGCAAATCTTCCTATGCCTATGCAATTGCGTGCGGACGTGCACGCACCGTATCGGTTGCATACGCACGGGGCAAGGTTGCGAAGAACTCGGGACAAGAAAACGAGCAATTAACATTGAATAATGACGCCGGCGTCCCGCTGCGGTATGCGGCATCATGTTAGGTGTGGTTCAAACCGTTCCACGCCAAAACGATCACTTTCCGGAGCAGAGGAAATAACCCTCCGAATTTTAATCATCGCGATATCTAGACTACAGAAAATTCTAACCGACATTTAAATACGTGCCGCATTTTTGTTGTTAGAAACGGAATATATTGTTTGTTATACAAAAAAATGACGTTAATTAAATGATGATATTTAATTAAACTAAATTATTGTTAATACATAATTAATACATATTCGTCTGATTCTCTAATTACGAAAAAATGTATTCACTTGTTGTTCGCAGATCTTCGAAAGTATTATTCCTTGCGCCATCATCACACCACTTGATTGTTTCTGGGAAGGTAGTAAACTTTTGGGTCCAGAGTTTCCTGTTCATGTACCGTAAGTATTATCAATTTTTATACGGTTTGTAGTTGACGACAAAGAGACGTTGAGCTGGAAACTCGTACATTCTTTATTATATATAAATTTGTTTAACATTAATGCTATCAGCATTTAAATAAATTTATCCTTCTGACATTTAAATTATTATTTATGTGAAATAAATTGTTCTCGCATGTGATTGACTGTAACATATAAATGTTTATGGTAATTTCTGTTAATGTTTGCAATCTCTGTTATGTATCTATTTATCTGAATTTTATTATAAATTTTAAGTTGCTTTTTGACAAATAGAAATAAATTGGTTAAATCAATAAAATTTATTTCGATTTCTCTTTTGATTAAACAGTGGTGTGAAAAGTAACAAGCGCGTCAAGTGGACGAATCTGAATCCTTCCACATTGTTGGACGAGATAAAGAGTTTGCTGGTCTCTTTTCCCTTTAAAACACTCGAGGACTATATGAAGAGGGCCGGGATAACGAACGGTTATCAGAGCAAGCCTTGTCTGAATCCAGCGGATCCAGAATGCCCGGAAACCGCACCTAACAAACAATCCCAACAGGTAAAACCCGTTAACATGATTGTTCGCTCGTCATTAAAACCGTCAATTCCATTGAATTCTATAAAATTGTTGAGGAGCAAAAGACAAGTAATATTAAAGTCTCTTCAACGTACATCTCAAATCTATATATATATATAGATGGAATTTAATCTTTAAAAAGTAGAGGTTTATTTTCTTGAATCTTATAACTTATCCTTGAATAAGATTTGTCATTATATCATTGCATTTCTTGCCTCAAAATATAACACCGTTTCAGTGCTACTGTAGTGACTTTCTGTCCTATAAAGAGGTTCTTGTTCGTGTTATTTGTACTTTTAACACTTAGCATTTTTGCCTTTTCTTTTTGCAACACCCGAATATATATTTTAAGTGCAAACATTTTTGGGAATTTCAAGCAATGCGAACAGACCCAATGTTATAAATCCCTATCAAACTAGAAATTAAGATTGCAAATTGGAATCTGACTAATCAGGAGAAAGAGAAAACCAATATCACCAAGTTAGTCAACTTTGCTTTGGTCGGTCAAATTTCAATGTAATCTCACTCTTAATCTCTTAGTCTGATAGGCTTTACAATTTGCAGCGCAAGAAATGTAAATACGTACTTTGACTAAAAGTATAGATTTCGGTAACGGGACGAAAGGTTGGGATGAGAATCCGCGATAATTGCAGTCTGTAATTCGACGAATGAGTACTCGTGTGCATTGTGTTGGACAAAAAAAGAAGACGCTGTGTGACACGATAGGTAATATAAAGACTGTCAGCGGCGAAACATTCGTCCGTGCGTCGCATCGAGAATAACAAGCGATCGTTTGAAATTCTCTACCGGATACGATGGCCGGTTGTGGGCACGTACATATATACGCGAACCGCTGGATGCTTTGATGTCCAGCCCGCGGAATGACGGCGATGAATATTTAACCGCGCGTTTCGATGCGATTGAAATCGAGTTTCTTTCGCGCATACGATCACGAAAGACTTTAGTCGAACGTCCCCATTTTCATTACGACAATTTTAGTTTATTAGATTATATCAGCTCATTTGCTACGACAACGACGTAATCCTAAAATTATCAAATAGAAGTTGTTTATACAGAAAAAGAATAGAAAAAAGAATATGTTTTAAAATACACTTTTATATTTCTTATTGTACTAAATTCTATTGTACTAAAATTGCATTTCAAAATTAATCCGAAGGAGAGATATATATGTTCAATATTTAATTAATTTTTATGTGGGAAAAGTATATGATTATTTATTAGCGCTAAATTATTTTGCCAATATTATTTATTACAGTATAAGACCCGATTACCGCCAACGTTACTTTGACTTTAAGCGAAGCTTAAAACTCTTTCTTTCTTTTTAAAATTGTAAGAGACATGGGCCTTAGAAATAAATTTTTTTCATGCTAAAAGAATGTACGGTTTCTTAGGACTTATTAAAGTTTTTGTTATTAGTTTATTTAATTTTTTTAAAGAATTGTTTAAATTCAGAATTGCAAAATAAAAATAGCGAAACGAAATTATTCCAAATACTATTTAAAAATTTCTTCTGGTCACTTCCACGATCTACATGTTTCAGTTACGTGTGAATATTATAAAGTTTTAATGATCAAACTTTATTTTTCGAATTATTGTACATGAGCGATATAATAATTGATAGTTTATGTTAATTCATCATTTGTCATGGATCCACTTGTTCGATTTTTAATGTGAATTTTAAGAAATGGTAAAGAATCGATTAAATCGACGGACAGAAATCGTCTTCCAATCGTATGTTTTTTACTTGGGAAACGAAAAGGGGGTTAAAATTCGCTGTTCTCGGTAACAGAAAAACACGTCTCGCATTGCGATGAATCCGCGGCAATCGGCACGTTCGTCGCATTTATCGCATGATAAGAAGGTGGATCGGGAGAGGGGAGGCCGGGGGGTGGCGGGATAGAACTCGGTCTGAATGAAAGGACGATCCCTGCGCGAAAACGGTCGATGAGTATGCGAGTCGCGTGGGCCGCGGCGCGGCGTGGCGGCCTATTAAAATAATAAAATCGAGTGACGTGCGTCATTATTGCGCTACGCCGGTGGTCGCGGCTGGTCGTGGCGCGGCGGAGCATGCCGGCATTGCATTGCCGGCATTGCCGGCCGGCCCGGCCCGGCCCGGCCCGGCCCAGCAGCGGTCCCACACACGCGCACCGCGCATCGCATTACGCGCCCGTCATTTCGGTGTCATTAACATACGCACGGCCGACGTGCTCTGACACGTGCACAACGTGAATCGCTACGCGCGCGTCTGCGTCTGCGTATATTAGCATCGTGCAAGATCTCTCTCTCTCTCTCTCTCTCTCTCTCTCTCTCTCTCTCTCTCTCTCTCTGTCCTTTCTCTGTCAGACACACACCTATTTCTATTTTCATAACGGATATGCGCGCTCTCGTACTTAAAGTAATTGCACTTAATGGCCACGCGGCGTGTCCGCGCGGCATGCATGCGCTTCAGAATATTTCGAGTGTAGCTGCAGGCGGGGCACGTTGATCGGGTGTTTAAGTCAAGAACCGGCATCGCGTGTTCCGCATATGCACGGAGTCCCGAAGAGTCGCATTCACGACCGGCTCAGCGTCACGACGCGAATACGCTATGTTTTTCCCTTATTAATTCAGCGTAATTAAATGCCGTCGGTTCTTTAAGTCAGGACAGAATTAATAATGAATTTATAGAAATAATACATTTTTGTTTTGTTTGCCGATAAAATGTCGAGACAATTCGTATGTTACGACCTTAATGAACATGCGTGAATGTACCACACACTAAAAAATATCGGTGCGGATTTAATATCCATGCGATGTGTGTGTGTGTGTGTGTGTGTGTGTGTTCATATATATGTAATTTTCAACGTGCAATGTTGGTGTTGATATTAATATGATGTTGATTTATAACTCCTGGTAATTATATTAACCAAGTTCGTCATCATGGATTTAAAATCCATATCGCGTTGGTGTTAATATTAATTATGTTCGAAATTATGCGAATCATCGATGGTTCGATTTCGATTCAATCGCTTATTTTATTTGCTTCATTTATGCACGATTTTTATAAATTGAAAATTATTCTTCTTGTTTACTTAAAAAAATTTGAAACGTTATTGAAAATTTATTACTTTTAAAGTAGTTTTTAAAGTCAATCCGGGAAAATTTAATATTCGACTCAACGTGAAAACTTCAAATTCAATTCGATTCGTTTTCGAACTTATTCAGGGTTGTCATAGACCTGGAAAATCGGGAAAAGTCAGGGAAATAGAAATTGGTCATGGAAAACCGAGAAAAGTCAGGGGAAAATGTAAAAAAGTCTATAATTTTAAAATTTGCTCACAATTTCCTTAAACTACTCTGACGTTTATAGTGAAATACGGTCAAAACTTGCACACTTTAAACGATTTTTATGAAATAATCAAAATTTATATTTTATTCAGTATTTTTATTTGATCGCCCTTTTTCATAACTGCATTCTTTTTTCCAATACTAATTAATTTTTTTTTTAATTTGAATTTGCACCCAAAATTTTACTAACCTTTTTTGCGTTGTTTTTAATAATATATGCTAGCTCTTTCCTACAATTGACTTTAAATGTGTTAAAATTTTATATTGGAAAATTTTCCATTTTTATCTGGAAAACCTGGAAAAGTCAGGGAATTTTAAAATTTATTTTCTGTGGCAATCCTGTTATTGTGTTATTACATCAAAGATTCGATTCGATTCACAAATGCTTGATTTGCACACTTCTAGTAAGAATTATATGGATACCATGTGATGCTGAATTCACACCGATATTTTTTATAGTGCATAGTAATTAGAGAGACGCGAAAGCGTAACTCATATCCACGTCGAGCTATTTTTCTCTCAAACGCGAACCAACGCTGGAAGACGGCGGAACGTGTCGCGAGAACGAGTAAAAAGCACGAAAAGCGTGCCAGCTACTCGGCTACATTCTACACGCTTCTTCGTGGAATTACATAACGCCGGTGTGAGGTAATCGATTTCAATCACACGTGCGATCGAGAACGATTACGAGGCTTTATTTGGTATGCCTTTTCTATGTACTTCGTCGTATCTACACTTCCGCGATGCAGCGGCGATTTAATGGCGTGCTTTCAATTTAATTAGGACGACACTGTCTCAGTCATTCCAATTTCACCCGATTGCATTTTATTAATAAAAGAAGAAATAAAAGTCTAGAAATATAAAGCGGTATGACAAAAATTATGCCTTTCTCATAAATCTTTTAATCCTCTATTTTTTTGTTTATCGCCGTTTTACAACTTTTTTTTTAAATATTTTTTCAACAATTTACAGTTTTAAGTCTTATATTAATTTTTCAGTTAGATCTGACTTAAGATTAAGGATTATGAATTTTTTCATTTGTTTTTCTTAATTTTTTAATTTTTTTAAAGAAATCCTTTAATTTTCGATCGCTTGTGAGCAATGTAAAAGCTTCGATATTTTTGTAAAGGAAAACTCGAGATGAGATTGATCAAAGAATCCACGGGATTCGAAGAAAAACGATGAGCGCAGCGTCCTTTCTATACATGCGTAAATGAAAAAAGTCTTGCTCGAGATATGTCCAGATACAGTAATAATTCCGTCGTTGAGATTCTATTCTTCGTGCCGCGTTGTGGCGGACGCTCATCTGTTCTGGTATGATATAAAGGACAGTGGACAAGGCAGCTTGATCGTCTAAAGTCACGGCTGGTATGCCCTTTTATAGGACCCTATAAAATCTCTCGGTGTGGGGTCCACAACACCCCCGGTTACCCTATAAGAAAGAACGTCGCTCGAACCCCCTGTAATAATTCTTTGCCATAGGAATTCCTGGCGTGACTTGACACGGTTCTGCCTTCGGTCACGCTTGAGAAATTCATAGATAAAAAACAAAATGTTGCGGAAGGGCTTGAGGTGGCGGATAGGAAAAGAAACACTTTTCTAGTCCCTTGCGCAACTTGAAATGGTTGCCGCTTATAAAAAAAAATCACGGAAGTTAATCTAATTATCATTTTCATTTACATTTATTATCATCATCGTCGAAATCTAATTAATAATTAAAGAAATCATTGCTTCGTAGAAATCAGTTATTTTACATTTTTAATCTTTCGATCGCGCGGATGAAGTTTTATTTTTTTTTAATGATATGTCTGGAAAATCAATTTCAATCATTTTGATTCCTTTTTGCATAATTAGATTCTAAAATTATAATTTTGCTCAGGGCAGCTTTCCATTTTACTAATTTCCAATTCTACATTTTCTATAATATAGGTACCTGATGTAGGAGTCGAATTGTCAGGTGGTTGCTATGGATTCGCTGCTAAATACATGCACTGGCCGGAAGAGCTGGTGGTCGGCGGCGCCAAGCACAACAAGACGGGCCACTTGACTCGCGCGGCCGCGCTACAGACTGTGGTGCAGCTGATGGGCGAACGCGAGCTGTACGATTTCTTGGTGAACACCTACAGGGTCCATCATATCGATTGGACGCAGGAGAAGGCGGCTAAAGTTCTAGAGACCTGGCAAAGAGTATTCAGTAATGAAGTGAAGAAGTTGATGGAGGTCAACGGATCGGCACCGTACAATCTGTACGCTTTCAGTACGACAACCATGAATGACATCCTTGGGAAGTACAGCGAGGTGTCCGTCATGAAGATCGCAATTGGTTGCGTGCTTATGGTTAGAAATAACTCTATTATGTATGATTGAAGAATCTTAATGCAACTCACATTGTGCGAACTCACATTTTAATAACGGAGAATAAAAGCATTTTTTCCTATCACTTTTCCTTTAACTTTAAAGTTCATTTTCTTTGTTTTTAAAATATGTTAACCCACTGTTGCAGTAAACTTTTCAATTATTGTGATACTGTAAAGTTTAAAGATACTGAAAATATTTTTATTTTACTTATGTATTTTTATTATGATTCAATTTCTGCTTTATTTTTCTAGTTGCTGTATGCTGGTGTAGCTCTCTTTCGTTGGAAAGATCCAGTGCGTTCACAGTCCGGCGTAGGAATGGCTGGCGTAATGTTAATTTGCGCCACAGTAGCCGCAGGATTGGGTTTCTGCGCTCTTTTGGGGATCCCATTTAATGCTACCACGACGCAAATAGTGCCATTTCTTGCCCTCGGTCTGGGCGTACATGACATGTTCCTGTTAACGCATACGTATGCCGAACTGTCGGTAAACGAAGTGCCCAGCAGTGAGCAAACGGGAGTCGTTCTCAAGCGAACTGGCTTGTCGGTGCTGCTGACAGGTCTGACCAACGTTATTGCCTTCTTCGCAGCGTCGATAATCCCGATCCCGGCTCTCCGAACGTTCTGCATGCAAGCCGGTATTGTGCTATTGTTCAATTTGGCCGCCATGCTGCTGATATTTCCCGCGATGGTCAGTCTAGATCTACGACGTAGACGTTCTGGTAGGAAAGATATTCTCTGCTGCTGCTTACCGGCGTCACCCAATCTCGGAAAGAATAGGTACTCCGTAAAGACCAACGGCACGGCCAAGCAAACGGTCACCAGGGCGATACCACCTGAGAGACGAGAAACTTGCACACAGATCTTAACTACGCAGAATACACAGAATGAATCTTGGGTACGAAATGACATACATGTATACATATATATCACATATATACTGGATTGTGTTTGAAGTCACATTGTGAAATATCAGATTTTAATGTTCGTATTAGAGATTGAAGAAATTTATTTGATAAATGGTTGCTCGATTAAAATCAAGAGACTTGATAAAAATCAATAACAATTGCTTTCTATTTACACAAGTTGAAATTAACGCAGAATCATCTACAAATATCCCATTCGTGTTGCAGATAGGTGGAAATGTTATCGACGCGGAACTGGACAAACAGTGCACTGAAGAAGACGCGCTGACCGGCTGTTCGCAAGATGATTGTCTGAGCTTTTCCTTGACGCAGCTTGCATCTCGGCATTACGCACCCTTCATCAGTCGAACGGCTACCAAAGTGTTTGGCGTGATAATTCTGGTCGCCGTGCTAGTTGGTAGCATATGGGAGGCGGTATCCCTACGTGATGGCCTGGATTTGACTGATTTAGTGCCGCAGAACTCGAATGAGCATGCATTTCTGTCTGCCCAGGCAAAATATTTCGGTTTCTACAACATGTACGCAGTCACCGGTCGAGATTTTGAATATCCGAATAATCAACAATTGTTGTTCGATTATCATGATAGTTTTATGCGGATCAAGAATGTTATCAAGAACGACAATGGTGGTTTACCTGAGTTCTGGCTTAGTTTGTTCCGCGACTGGCTAAGTGGTTTACAGGCCGCGTTTGACAAGGACTATGAAAACGGCTGCATCACTCAGGAAAGATGGTTCCCGAACGCGAGCGACGAAGCAATCCTAGCATATAAGTTACTCGTGCAGACCGGTCATGTGGACAATCCGATCGATAAGACGTTGATTACTTCTGTACGACTGGTTGAGGGTAATGCCATTAATCCACGTGCTTTTTACAACTACTTGAGTGCATGGGCATCCAACGACGCGCTTGCTTACGGTGCTTCACAGGCAAATTTGAGGCCTGAACCACGTCAATGGATCTACGTTAATGACCATGAGCTCAAGATTCCTAAGAGCATGCCGCTTACGTACGCGCAGATGCCGTTTTACTTGCACAGGCTCACGAATACGCAAGATATCACAGAATTGATCAGTAGCGTCCGGGAACTGTGCAAAAAATTTGAAGAACGTGGTTTGCCGAATTTTCCGTCCGGTATATTGTTCCTCTTCTGGGAACAGTACATGAATTTGAGAACCTCTATGTGTATCGCCCTTGTAGCTGCATTGGGTGTAAGCATCTTAGTGGTCGGATTCCTATTGTTGAATATATGGGCTGCTGTGCTGGTTGGTTTCTTTCTTCTCGTTGTTATTGCTGAATTACTAGGCGTTATGAGTCTGTTCAACATCAAGTTGAGCGCAGTACCTGCCGTACTGCTAGTGGTTAGTGTGGGCATAGCTGTTCATTTCACGGTGCACATTTGCCTGGTAAGTAATTTGAGAAGCTTTTTCATTAGCGTATCTTATTTTTTAGTTTCGAGCATATTAGATTTATAATATCAAAATAAAAAAATTTGTTTGAAGATTAAAATCGAACGTTTTGGCTATTGTGATTTTATCAACTGTTCTTTCATCAATCGTTACTAACATAAATCATTATTGATACATTTATGCATCAATGTTTCCTCTAATTGATTTTTCCCTATTTGCATTTTTATTTTGTATAAGTCGTGTCTCTGTTAACATAAACGCGTAATTCTATTTCAGAGTTTTGTCACCAGTGTGGGTAGCAGAAATCGCAGGATGCGTTTAGCTTTGGAACATATGTTCGCTCCGGTTGTCCATAGTGCATTCACTACGCTACTCGCCGTGGTGATGCTCGCTTTCTCGGAGTTCAATTTCATAGTCAATTATTTTTTCCTTGTATTACTCAGTGTGATCGGTATCAGTCTTGTGAATGGCATCTTTTTCTTCCCTATTCTATTGTCCCTTATCGGTCCGAAGGCGGAAGTAATTCCGAACGATCATCCGGATCGTATATCCACGCCGACGCCGCCGGCATCGCCCGTCGTGAGAAGATCCAAGCCGCCCACACCACCGAGGAGATCTCACAAAATCGATAATGCTCGACTGCATGCTGAACCATCGCTCACAACCATCAGTGAAGAACCCAACTCGTGGCACAGCACGCAGGAATCCTGTATTATTGTTCAACCGGAACTCAAGGTGGAGACCACGTCCACATGTGGTAATCAGGTGAGTTGAGATTCGTGATCAATTAGTTGCTGATCAGCATGAGAGCGTAACTTTCTCCAATAAATTATTACACTTTTCCGAGCATGACTAACGAGTGTGTTCTTTTATTTTGACTAACAGAACTGTAGCGGATCGGATACGAGTGGGTCTAGTCGAACGTCGCCGATTCCGCCCACATCACACATCACCACTAAGGTCACCGCAACGGCGAACATTAAGGTCGAAGTTCATACACCGTTAACTAGTAAGTATTCATTTTAAATAATTCTTAAAAATTATTCCAAAACATTCCCCTAATGTAATTTGAGACTTTAAACTAATTCGAAATGCTGTCTAACTAACGCATGTTGCTGTGATCGAATGTAATTATATTTATGTATTGCTAAAAATATTTGCTTTTGAATTATTTTAATATTTTTTTTAGAGAGATTGTAAATTATAGTAACTTTCTTATAAAGTCTTACTTTAAAAATTAGAGTAAAATTTATATCATTAAAATTTGTATACATTGTTATAAGACTCCGAAAGAATTCACAAAACATGTAATGTATCTTTTTTTTTAATTTTTTATGCAAATATCGCTATTTTTACGCTACATATTTACTTATTTAATTCCTATCTTAATTTGTTATTGCATTTTCTCAAATCAATATAAGGGAATTATTACAAATATATTTATTTTTATGATAATTATAGGTGGAATGGATCGTAGTGAAAAATGCCGGCACTCGGGCAGCAATAGTCGAAGGAGCTCGCGCTGCAATACGAACGTTAATGCTGGGGAGTCTTCCGGTTCCGAGCCAGATTCAGACTCTAACGCAAAACATTAATAACAACCGGGGGGACCGGCAGCTACTGCTCAAGTACCACGCAAAGCGGGAAAACACAGAAGGCTGACTAGGATAGATTAATAGATTTTCCATTATCTCTTCCTGTTTTCCTCTTTCCCCTCTCCTTACCTTTACTTAGCTCTCTAATTTTTCGGTTCTAGACTGTTTTTCTCCCTCAAGTGAGTAATGCAACATGAGTTGTTTTACTCAAACTTTAAAGACAGAAGTATTATAACACAAACCGCAACTTCATAATATATATATGAATATTTTCGTAAACAATTTTGTTGCATGTTTAATTTTTTGTGTTTTTTACAACGAATTTTTTAAAGTTTTAAGTAGACTTTCTCTGTAAGAACCAACATTGTATTTACTTAATTAGGATTTGTTATTATCAGCGGACTATATTTACATTTTATGCGTATATTAATGCGTGAATTATTATAAGATTTTAAGTAAATTGTTAAAGTTATTAATGAAAAAAATTTTAACTGAAATTATGTAAAAAACAGGATGCTATTCAAATATTTCAACAACGTTAAATAACATTACCAAGGACAGTAATGCGTACAATTTACTAAATCAATGTATTAGATTATTTTAGATAAATATTATCTAAAATATATATATTTTTTAGATAAATTTATTTAATTAGTGACTTGCGGCGTCACAGGAGTTCGTGTCATGTACTACTGGCAAGTACATAAGAACATTATATGATTTATCTCTTTCGAGAGAGAGGAAAGACAATACTTGCCAGTATGCCTTTATTTATCAGAGACTGACACTAATATCTATGTCAGTGAGCGCATTCGTAATATTTGCGTAATACATAACGGGAGAGAGCATTTACTAAAATGTATATATACATACTTATTATTTAATTAGAAAGTTATACATATTACTGTCAAGAAGAAACGCGACACTTCTCAAATGTAATCGTGAAATTTTGCGATGATGACGCTTTATTATGCGACAAAAACGACAAAATTTCCAGATAGTACTATTTATTTTTTTTCTACATTAATCATATGTTACGCGCAGTGTGTATGTATGTGACTACGAGCGATATACTGAATCTTTGAGACCTATTTATTATTTATTTTAATAGTATTCCTCGGCATTTCTGCGGGTGTGTGTGCACGAGCGCAATATTTTGTACGCATAAATATATAATGACTCTCTTGTAAAAATAATTATTTATATCGGACTATACGAGAATACTTTTCATTGCCTACGACAATAACGGTACTTAATTTAATGTGGAATATATATTCCTATTCTGATATTCATACCTCTAATGTATAAAAGTGTAATATATAGTATCAGTGACCTAGTAATTGCGGCATGCATTGTCATAAGATGTGACTCGTGAAATTATGTATAATATAAGCGAGAAGTATTCCTTATGCCAAGTCAATTTTGTATACATATGCGAGACTCGAGGTGTGTATTTAAAGTGACGAAAAGCATTCTGCGGAATGGCTTTTGCATTTTGTACATGTTGTATAAGCTCGGATGGGAAAAATAGTCAATATACCTCTAATATACGTATGAATTGTACCATGACTTTTATTTTACAAACTTCATTGTAAGAATCTAATTATTTTTCATATAATGAATGTGTAGAAGCGACTATTTGTACGATTTATAATCCAATTTTTGTAAATATAAATATTGTAATAATAACACATTACCTTTATTGCCGTTATGATATCGGCAATATCGTAAATAAGATTGAGATACAAAATTAATATTATAGCAAAGTTAAAATTGCATAAATGAAATTATAAATTATATAATGTTATTAAAAAATTGCATTAAATTATATTAATTTTCTTTTGTGTAGATATTTCTAATAATCTCGCGAAAAATTTAGTTTATATTGCAATTTTTTAATTGTAAATCTTCAAATTTAAAATTTTTAAAGAAAACAAGAGCAATTTTTTAGGACTTTTATTAATTATTATCATATATCTATAATAATATTTTCTTAATTTGTCTTTTTGCAAAATTAAATTTTCATGATTTGTTTACGTCAATAGTTATCGACAATTGAGATAGTGGTGACCTTGTAACACAATCTCTCATTAATGTTTTATTTAAAAACTCACAAATAAGTTATTTTATAATATTAAGTAACGATTTGTGTAGTGTTTAATTTAATTAAAAGTATAAAATAATTTTTATATTATAATTTTTAGAAAATAATGAAAAATTTCTTGACAGTCGATAACAAGGTATCCTAATCTATAACTATCGACGCTTTTCCATGGAGATTAGAGATTGGTGGAGCTAATGGCCAATTTTTTTTAAAGGGATGCCATGAAGACTGAGGTAACCTAATTTAGAGTGGCTATAAAAAGAGTGACGCTAATTGACCGGAAATCGTCATTTGTATTCTATATCTATGACGCAATTCTCGTCTTATCCTCTTCTTTCTTTAACGTTATCTTCTTTCTAATTAATAGTAATGGCCATATTCTACAATAAGCCATTAGTCATAAATCAGAACTTAGAAGTTGGAAATTGACGATTGTGATTGGTCAACTTCTAACTTTTGATTTATGACTAATGGCTTATTGTAGAATATGGTGTGTGTAAAGAATCCTCTACATAGAAGTCGTAGACGGTCGTGGAGTCTTAAGTCGTAGGGAACTGACCAATTCTAATCGAGTCTTCTTCATATATTTGATTGTGATTAATTGGTTTCCTACGACTTAAGACTCTATGACCATCTACAACTTCTATGCAGAGAACCCTTAATGGCTCCTGCATATAGAACACGGCAATGCTTGCCGCGTGACGGAAGTTGGCGCGATAGCCAATCAACGTCTCGCTTGCTCGGAAGATAATAGATATATAATTTTCATCGCGCGACAAAAATTAAACTCAATTCAACTTTTATCGCTGCGGCGGAGGTAATATTACATCATTTCTAGAAGTTTTGCATGGTGAGGACGACTAAAACATAAAATTATTATTAATTAATGCGACAATTCCGCCGCGGCAAGCATTGTCGCATTCTATAAGAACACTTAATGGCCGAGCCAATCAGCATTAAGCACATGCATGGCGCCACTCTTTTCGTATCCCTTTTAACCTAACCGATCATGTAAAATTTAAATTCAAAGCGATGCTGAACGATGTGTCACGTGCTTCGAAAAAGAGTTATGTACATTGCTCCACATATTTGACGTAAATATTTTAGTATAACAAAAAGCGAAGGACGTAGTACCCGTCGTGATTGGAGTAGTTATCTCAGAGTAATATTGCTTTTTAGAAATTAATATTCCTATAAACTTGGTTAAGATAAAGATTGCGTGTTCCACATGTTGCACGCCTAATGATGCATTATGTATCATTTTATTCTTGTTTAACCCTCTGTGAACAAATATAAAATGATACCTTATGCGCGTTATGCATGCAACGAAATGGAGCTAAAGAAAGATATGTTTGTATATATTTGTGGTTATATGCACTTCCTTGTACTAATTATATTTAACATTGTATAAAGTACAAATTTCATTGTATATATTATTTGATTCGATCTTTGCAGCGAACTGTGATGGATGAAGATAGAACTGTGAAACAGAATGAGGATAATCTGGAAGAGATAATTGATAAACAAACCACAGGGCTTCGGGAACTGAATATAGCCACAGCATTAATAAAAAGTATTATTGTGGCATTTGTGGCACTTTCATAAAATTTTAATGGATGAATTTTTTTGTGGATGGTTCTATGATATGATCTTAAGAGGAGTCACCTTCTAATAAAATATTGAAATTTTTTTTTTATTGACACAAGATAAAAAAGAGAATAGCTTATTTGCTTTCTGTGTAATAATGTATTTGTTGATATTTGTCAGATCATATTGCATTTCTTATAGGTAAGCAAAATATAAAAGGTGAACTTCAGGATGCACATGAGGAAGTACAGCAAATTTCAGGTGGCATTAGCGAAGCAAAAAAAATGTTACGTAGAATGCATGAACAGAATTCTCGTTTAAGGGTATGTATAGTCAAGTTATTTCTAAAAATTTATTTCAAGAATTAGAAATTCAAGAAATTTCAAGAAATTAATTAAGATATCTTTATTTACATGAAGGAAATATTCACGTTAGTTGAAACTTTGGACAAAAGAATTCTCCATCAAGAAAAAAATATTCCACCTGAACTCATACAAGGTTATCAGAATGCCATGTATACTCCTTTGTCAGAATATCCTATAAATCCAACACAGCGATCGACTAGAAAAACGCCCAATAATGTAAGAAACATCACAACATTTGAAAAGGAAGAAACAGTGAAAGATTGTAAAAGAACACTTTTTAATGAACCAGAAGTATGCCCAACAATACAATTTATCACTGCAGAAGAATTCAATACAGTACCTAAATATATTATTGGAAGGCAAACTGTTAATAGTTTAGAGACAATTAATCACTTTATAAATGCTATAAATCAAACGTTAATTGCAAAGTATACACTTTTATCAATGGGAAAGGCTGCCGCTCAAAAAAAGGGTGATATTAATTTGTATTTATACTATAAAAAGCAAGAGCTCGATATTCGAGATGAAGATGGTAAGTTTTAACAGTTTATATAAGCATATTACTAAATATGTGTAAATAGTTGTAATAATATGTAAATATAATATGTATTTCACATATGTGTGGAAACTTTTGCACGCCACTGTATATTTTGTATCAAAATAATTTTCAGGATATCTCTACTTCTTCACAGCTGAGGATTATTATAGACAAACGAATACAAAAATTGATAAGACCAAGTTGAACTTATTAACAGCATTGCGCCATTGCAAACGTTTACGAGAATGTAGGATTAGAAATGAATTACGATATGTTATAACGTCACATTAATTTATACAATTTTCTTTGTATTCATAGACTTTTAACATTATCGTAATAAGAAAAATGTATTAATTTAGTAATAATGTTCTGAATAAATATATACTTCTAATAGACAGCTTGTCTGTCTTGTTAACATGGTATAATTTTAGAAATCTATGAAAATAGCATATGTAATAGCATATATTATTTGC